TATATTTGAACCTATGCAATCTAGCTTATCATGCTAAAGCTTACCTTTATATTCTGCACCCAATCTCAACATTAAACGCATGGGGAAAACCTTTGCCCAGGGAATCTCTAGTTTCTGGATAAGAATTCCACAAAGAAAAGGATTACTCGGTAACAGGAGATCATCAAGGTTCTGAAAAGTAGGTGTGATAAACAGGAATCCTCCATGATCTTTGCTACTGAGAAAACTCTCAGTAAAGGTAATATTGTCCATGTTTTCTACATATTTTCCTAGAAATAAATTAGTAAATATTTAAGGTATCATTTTTAAAAGTCTTTTCAGTTAGACTATCTTATCACAACATACATAAGGGCAATGCAGATTTGTTTTTTCTTTCTTCTTATTTCCACTCTTAAAGAAGCATCTATTGATCACTCTGTGTACAAAAATGAACTGTTCCTAGAGAACTTGGGATTGTGAACAAAAACAAAGTGTTTCCAGCCATAAGTACCTAACATTTTTCACCTTACTGCTTTGGATCAGGCAAATCAAAAAAATTATATCATCTCCTCAATAAAAGCAAAACAAAACATAGGCACACACACAATCAACAAGGCAAACATATTTACATTAAAAAAATCAAAATGTCAGTGTAAAGACTTTGATTACATAAAATGTTATCTTTAAGGAACTTGGAAATGATGATTAAGATCCTTTAAAGAAATCAGCAATCTCATCTCAAAATAAATCTTTAGAAAGTTATCATACCCCTTGCAGAGGGGTCTTGGGGAGGAGATGAGCCAGTCAGGGTGCGATGTAACAACGATGAAAAATACAACTTTTCTCTAGTTTCTAAATGTTTCCTCCCTGCTCCCACTACCATGACTCGAATTCGATCTGGCAAGTCTGGCTAGACCAGAGGATGTACACTGGTACAGCTTATACCACAGAACCACCAGAAATACTTCTAAAGACACCTGGATATCAATGTTTCTATCCAAAATTCAGAACACAAAGAATTCTGGACATAGCTTTCATTCACCATCAGTCCACAGCAAG